AAAGTAGGGAAGTCCAAATGATCATGGACGTGAAGCGTACCAAAGTAGGGAAGTCCAAATGAAGCTCAAATGAAGCCCAAATGAGGTTTCATTCCAAAACCAATTGGTAGTAGGAGGAGTAGTCCACTAGACTTATAAGTTAGGCCTATTTTCTTTGTATAGACGATGTGGGACAACTCACAAGTGTATATTCTAACAATGTAACTAAAATTACATAAAAATATTTAAAAGTTAATGTTATGTATGTTTAAATTCAAATTCTCCAATTTAAGTTCGTAACTTTGGAAATTTTGTATAAATGGCTCGTTACTTTATTGTTTAGCTCGATATTTCCTAGAGTTGGGGTGAGATCCGCATATTGCTATTCTATTTAAGTTTGTAACTTTAAATTTTTTTACAAATGACTCTGTAGTCTCTCGTTTAGCTCGATACTCACTAGGGTCAAATCAACATATATTGCTATACCATTTGAATCACGATATTTTTAAAACTCAAATTATTAATTTAACCTGAAATCGGGTAAAGCTCTCCCATTTAACATATCTACACAAATAAAAAAAAATATGCTCGTCACATGCCCCATTTATCATGAATATGATACATATGTTCTTCACGTGGTACTAACATGTTTAATAGTTTTTTTATTTTATTTTTTTTTTTGTCATTTTTTCATTCTGTTTTATTATACTTATGAGCTGTTTCAGCTATATATGTCCCCCCCCAAAAAAAAATCTTCTAATTTGTATACCTATGGACTGAAAATTAATTAGACAATCATGATCCAAACAAACCTTAAGAAAAAAATCATATGATATTTTGCACTAAACAGTGAAATAATAATTTCAATAATATATTACATAAATTTATTGGACATTATAAATTGAAATTAAACTGTTTTTTGCTAATTAATTTAATGAGGGGAAAGTACATTGAAAATGATAGTGTGGGAAGAGCATACCCTATTTTGACCGTTATTTCAGGTGAAATATTAAAGGGGGCCCTCGATTTATCTAAATGTGAAGCTTTTTAATATTTTTCAACTTTCTCATTTTATTGGAGATAATGATAATGAGCTCTTAACGCCCAAGAAAATGGAGAATGCCTATGTCAACTTTCTGTCGCATAGTGGAACATCGATGTAAATTTGAGTGTGTCACATGCATGTTTTTTTCTTGATAATATTCTCAAATAGTTTCCTTTATTGGGAGAAAATTTAAAAAATGTATATATATATACATTTATTCACTACAAACAAAATTTTAACACAAAAAAGGGCAAACACTAAAGGCATTCTTATTTATAGAATTCTCTTAATCGAGCTATCTGTTCATTTTTCAGAAGAATTTGATACAAAAATGAGCAAACATGTAAAGCGATGTCAAAGCGTTGCCAACAACCAAGGGATTAATGAAAACAATGTCTTAATCAAATTAATTATTAAATAAAACTTAGTTAATTATGGGAGATGAAAAATAGAGGAAAAGTTGAAATATAATGCAGCTTTATTTAATTAAATATAACCATAATATTAAAATTTTGACATAGTACAACTATACCCTTGAGGTGTAATTTTACCTAGGGTGTTATTCGAGCTGAATCGTGCCGAGCAGAGTCGAGCACCTCATGTTTGAGCTCCTGAACGAGCAAACACGGACAAGCTCAATTAATAACCAAATAAAAGGCTCGGCTCGAGCTTGGTTCATTTAAGCTCGTGAAAACTCGGTGCAATTCGTTTAATAAATTTTAGGATAATCCAAAACATGTTGTTCAAAAACCCGGAATGTTCGCTCGCCTACAAGTTCAACTCGAACATTTCATTTAAAGTCCATAAAAACTTAAAATTTAAAAATAAAAAACAATGGATGAGGCTTTTATATCTATTCTCCCTTTAGAGGCAGTTTTTATATTTATGTTTGTCATATATGTACAAAATTTAATTGAATTAATCGTCACATATTTATTTTCACTTTAGAGATAGTTTTGTATTAATTTTTACCATTTATATTTAGGGGTTGCAGTCTTTATAAAACTGTAAAAAACTTGGCCGCTCAACTAGTTTATGAGGCTGACTAATAGTAGTAGTGATTAGTATTGGGCAATGGATGTCGGCAAAACCCATGAGACGGTGAAATTTTTTCAGAAATGAAAGGTAATAATTAGATATTATAACCAAACAGTACAATTAAGCAAACTTTTGACTTGCTCATCAAACTTTTATATGCGTGTTGATGTGTGGACAACACTACCAAATCCCAATTTAATCGTTTGCTCATTGGTTTCGAGATTTTTTTTCTTTATTTTCTTTGTCAAAGTCTAAGATCATCTTTNACAAAAAAAAAAAAAAAGGTCTAAGATCGTCTAATTAATAATTGATTCTTTTAAATAGGTTATTATTGTTGTTCTTGTTATTAAACTACTAATATATACCCCGTGTGTGATGCACGGAGGGACAAAATTATTAAATGAGTTATTTTCAACTCTGTCAGAATTATCATCTATTTTTCACATCTTTTAATCAAAGTTAAGTCAAAAAACAATAGAGTTATAATCTATTTTCCACATCTGGCTAGCTTGTAAAATAATTAATATATTATATATCTCACTAACACATGTATACTAATATAAATTTAATTTTAATATATATTTTATTCGTCCTTAATTTAAGAAAAAATAACAGTTTTACTTATTATTGTTCACCATATAATACTTAAATATTATCTTATTATAAATTTTGTTGTTATATAATGTCATTATTATTTATAAAACTTATAAGACTTTATGTCAAAGTAACACATAAATTTTGATCGACCATGGTACCACGTATGGACATAATAATAATATTATTATATTTATAATATTTTTTTATATATAATTAATATATGATTTTGAGAGGTGGTATGTCAAAGTAACACATAATTCTCAGTGTTCTACCCTTTGATATAATAGCAATTTTAGTGATACAAACTTTTGATTGGAAACACAATTGTTATTTTGTACTCTATTATTTGGTCCGTCATTTATTTAATTTTTTTGCATAAATTAAATTGTTGAATCATCTAAAGTACCAAAAATTAAAACAACATGCGGTCAATACTATCTCAGTTTTTCTTAAACTAAATATGAGGAATAGAAAATAAAATTATATTTTTATTTTTTATCAGACATATCATAATAAAACAAATCAATTGTAAAATAATAAAACAAATCAATTGTAAAATATAGCTAATGAAAGAATTGGTAGAATGAAAAAGTAGCCAAATATAAAATATAGTTGATGAACAGATCAAACCAAATATAGTGAGACTAGAGAATTGGTATGACAATAAACTAGTAACTACTTGATGAACCTATTTCTAAGACCAAACACAAATATAATCCGAAGGTCGGTTTAAATATAATCGAAAAAGTTGAGACTTGAGAATTGGTATGACAATAAACTAGCAAATATAAAATATTGCTGATGAACCTATTTCCAAGACCAAACACAAATATAATCCGAAGGGTCAGTTCATCTCCCGAGACCAAACACAAATATAATCTGAAGAGTCGAGATTTGATAAAATCAGTTCATCTTCCAAGACCAAATACAAATATAATCTGAACAGTCTTGATAAAATAGAATTAATATGAATAAGTCTGAAGAGTCGACATTTGATAAAATAGAATTAATATGAATAAGATAGCAAATAGTATAAAATATGGTTCATGAACCCATTTCCAAGATCAGCCATTTTCTAGACTAAACGTAGATAAATATAATCAAAGAGTCGAGTATAATTTATTTAGTTGCCATCAAACCAAAAAATATATAATTTTTTTAAAATAAAATTGCTTTTAAAATAAAAAAGAATATTATCTTATTAATCACTTTTTATTTTCACTATTCTCATATCAAATTTTATTTCCATGTTTTAAGTTACATTAAACTAGAATATATATCTTTAATAGTTAACATTTATAATATATATCCTCACCATAGAATTTATGAATTTTTATTTATTGTTTTAGAAAACTTGTAATAATATATCCTCACCTTAAAATTGTATGCAATTGAAAGTTTATAGAACTATATATGATTATCAAAGAATTATACGGATTCCGATGTTAGGGAAACTTTTAACGTCATTCTATCATTTTTTAATATGGTACCCCAATTTTACATTTTTTTTTTCGTTTTTCGTACTTGAAAATTTCACTTGGTCGTTTTTGGTGTTCAATATTTCGTCTGTTAATCAGTTAAAAAAAATGAGGGAGTATAAATTTTTGTTTCGCTATGTACATGTACACATAATTAAATATTAGTTATTAGTAAATGTCAAATTTCTTTATAAATAGATATATTGAAGATGTTTTCAATAAAAAAAAAATGTACAAACTATGTCTGACATTAGATATATTTATTATGGGAAATGCTCCTCTACCCGCGGTGGGCACATGTTAATATGTCCACCGCTTATGTGGCATGCACACATTGGTGATGTTAATATATTAAAAAAAATACATCACCAATGTGTACATGCCACATCAGCGGTGGACATATTAGCATGTGTCCACCCTACCCAACATTTCCATATGTATTATATATACAACTATTGATGCTCATAGTAGTAAGCCTAAATTAAGTATTTTGAAGAGCTTTTGCCATAAAACTTCCAAGCATTGATGCTCCTAGTAGTTTAAACCTAAATTAACTACTTATTTTGTAGAGCTTTTGTCCTAATAAAATTCTGAGTGTCGTTGTTAGTGATTCAAACTTTAATCAACTATTCGCAAGTCGCAACCAACATTGTGCGAGATGAATTCAGCACGTTCGCCTAATCTGAAAACTTTTGTGCCAAACTCTCGTTTTAGTTTAGAATTTTTAGCTCATTAAAACAAAACTACAAAAATGTCTATTTACCTTACTGGAGATGATTTCAAAACTCTCACCTCAAATAGAGCGAAAAATAATACACTAATTACTACATTCAACTGCTAAAAAATATTCAGATTCCATAGCCCCATACAGAAAAATCAAAATCCCATAAATTCAACGAGTTTCACCCTCAGTACTTACTTCTACAAAATAAAACATCAAAATTAACTCAGTAGCATTTATACAATTAACTTCCTCCATAGAGAACCGGCTACCACAGTTCCAGTACAAATAGCAAACACAAAGAACAGAGCACCAAAAACACATAATAAATTAATGATGATAATAATCAAAAATAAAAAAAAATAAAAAACTAAGCAGACCCGAATTCGGAAAACCACTTCTCGTGCTTCTCAATGTCAGCAGCCGAGACACTTGGCTGTACCTTGGCAATGGCTTCTAGAAAGTCGCACATTGCAACTGGGTCCTTGGAAATCTCATCCTTGGACATGTTCTTGATCTCGTCTCGTGTTTTCCCAGCTATTTTGCGCCTCATCCCGTTGAGTGATGCATCCCGGCACACGTTCGTCAGGTCATCCCCACTGTACCCTTCAGTCTTCCTTGCCACCTCGTCTATGTCCACATCAGTTGCCACCTGTATTTTGTTCGTACGGGCAATAAGAAACTGATTATTCCTTTTGGAAAAAAAAGAAAAAAAAAAGTGATAGTAGTGAGTTTCTTCCCATGTAAATAGGCTGAAAAAGTTTAAACCAACAAATTACCTCCACAGTTTTCAAATTTATCCTAATAAGCTCCTTACGACTCTCGAAATTAGGCAAAGGTATGTATATTCTTTTCTCCAGCCGCCTCCTACATTTTTCATGAATAAATCAGATCACTGGAACACACAAGTTAGAAACTTGAAGGAAAAAAATAAAAAATAAGGAAATAAACGATAACTATCAATATAAGAAAACACGCGAAAGTGAAGGCCAAACCTCAACGCCTCATCTATATCCCAAGGAAAATTAGTAGCCGCTAAAACCATCACAATCTTGCGTGTACCATCTTCATTGGTGGAAGATGCATTGACACCATCAACCTGGACCAGAAGCTCAGACTTCACCCTTCTGGATGATTCATGTTCTCCAGAAGCACTAACGAAACAGAAAATAAGTTGCACATCAAGAAGTTTAGACCAAATAATAATCCTTGAAAAAAATTGAGATATGTATTTGTTCTACACATGCCCTCAATTGGGTACAATTTGTAAAATAACATTATACAGGCCAAACTTCAAGGTGGTGTTGCAACTATACCTAACAATTCTTGGGAGCATATAACCCACTCCCAGCATCATTGCGATAAATAATACTCCTAGAAGAACTCTTAGCTGAATATTGAGCAGTAAATACATTTGGCTCTTAAATGGAAACCACAACCAGAACGTTGGCGCTAATAAAAGTAATTAACGAACACAAGCTACTAATGCAGACAATTGAAAAGAAAAGCTAAATAATTTATTCATAAATACCACATGCAAAAGAAAACCAAAAAAAAAAATAAAAAAATGTTGCAACGACAGTGAACTTGTTACCCTCGAGCATTGCAAAGAGAATCAATCTCATCTATAAATATCGTACTGGGAGCATGAGCCCTAGCAAGATCAAACAAGCACCGGACCATTCTCTCACTTTCTCCACGCCATTTTGAGGCCAAAGTTGCCGAAGAAACATTAAAAAAGGTGGTCCCACACTCCGTGGCAACTGCTTTAGCAAGAAGAGTCTTCCCAGTTCCAGGAGGCCCAAACATGAGGACGCCTTTCCATGGCCTCCGAATTCCCTACAAGCCCACATCATTTCAGTTGTAAATTTTCATTTAAAGCGGTTTTCGAAATTAAATGGTCTATACCAAGAAAACACCAAGGACCAAGAACGTTCGCATTGATTTTTGTTTTAATGCCAGGTTCATTTTCTTCATGTTAAAATAAGTAAACTAGTGTGTATCCCGTGCGCTGCACGGACGGGCTTTTTACTTAAAACCTTTTCTAAAACTTTATATTAAACATAGTTATTTATGTTTAACATCTCATTATTATAAGAAAAGAAATACCAAATATGAAAAATTATATGTTATTTATTTGAATATAATGAGTGTCCCCAGCCAAACTAATAACATCCCAACATATGATATATGATAAAATCAATTATATGATCGTCATACTTTTTGAAAAAATATACATATATTTCTAATAAAATGATACATTTAAGATCCGCATATAAATTTGTACTTGGATATGGGATGAAAAATGAATATGTACAAAAAAAAAGTACCAAGAACCCACATAAAATGAGATTCTTTATAAACTTTAAAATATTTTGTAGTTAAGCAAATATTAACAAACAAAATCATCAATTAAGTTGAACTTTCCGAATATAAAATATAATTTATGATATCATTGACCATATTTACCCGTTGTATTTAAAGATATCATTAACCATATTTTTATGAATTAAGGTTTACAAAATATCTTTCAAAATAACAATTCTTTTTTAATTTGAATTTGACTTTTTCATCCAACCGCCATTTTCCACAAAAATAAAAAAATAAAAATAGTATTTTGGAAAATTTTAGACATGAAAATCAAATAAAATTAATTTAATAGCAATCGATTAATTTAATATTATTCAAAATTGTTTAATTCGGTCAACCCGATCGCAGTGCACGTTTAATTGAAACAATCGCTTACAAAAAAAAAGGTAATCGCTTACAAAAAAAGGAAGTGAAATCTATCTATATAATATAAATCGGATTTGAAAAAAAAAGGAAATGAAATTTCATAATTAATTAATTTAAATTGATGTTATCCGATTTATATCAACTCCCTTCCAAAAAAAAAGGAAATATCCGATTCCTACCAAATCGATTAAAAAAAAAGGATTATGATATACGTCCAAATAAATTACAATTGAAATGTAGGCGGGATTATGAAAAAAAAATAAAAAAACTTTACCGAATAAAGTAATAAAACGAAAAAAAAAGCGGGAATATGAAGCGGGAAAATAAGATAATTTTTTTTGAGTTTTTTGAACAATTTTTCTTAGTCGTAATAATAGTAATAGATTTCCAAAATGTTACCACACATTTTTTTCTATTTTTCTTGTTTTTATTAAATTTTATTTACATAAGATATACATTGGTTAATTTTAAATTGAATCTAAAAGTCAACTCCTCACACTTTTCGAAAAATGTTACCACACAATTTTTTTTTTCTTATTATGTTTTATTTACATAAGATATACATTAGGGTTAATTTTAAATTGAATCTAAAATTCAACTCCTCACATTTTTGAATTTGAATTTTTAAATAAGGAAATGTGTTTCCATATTTTTTGGAAGTTAGAATATGTTGGATTCATTTATCTATAACTACTCATACACGTATTCAAAATTTGAACCCAAACAAAATTCTTTGAATTTTTTGCTCACAAAATCACCTTCCCATAATTTATTTATTTCGAAAAATGTTACCACACAATCTTTTTAATTTTGTTTTTTTATTAAATTTTATTTACATAAAATATACATTTGTTAATATTAAATTGAATTTAAAATTCAACTCATCACAAATTTGTTAATATATATATATATATATATATATATATAGAGAGAGAGAGAGAGAGGATTCTCTTTTTTTTACATATTTGAAAAAAATCTAATCAAATTTTGAATCCCGAATTAAAATCGGATTGTAATGTGAGCTGAAAAGATTTGAAATCTAATCATGTTGTAGATAAGGGAAATCCATGGCAAAAAAAGGGGAAATCAAACCGAAAAAAATTGAAACCAAATCATGTTGTAGATATTATATTCATTAAATAAGAATTGCATGGCACAAAAAACTGGAAATGCATGGCAGAGTCTAAAAATTCGAATTTTTCAAAAAATTACAACCGAAAGATTTTGGTAAAAAACCAAATATAAAAGAGGGAAATGACTTTAAAAAAACGGGAAAACGAAATAATTTTTTTCGAGTTTTTTGAACCGTATTATATATTAATAGATTGTAGCACTTACTGGAGATACTCCGTGAATTAATAAAGTTAAATTAAAATCTACTCTGTTAGACATGCATTTCACCCAAAACATAATACATTAAGACGAATGAAGAGTATAATAGTTATTTTATGGAACTTGGAGAATTGTGAGCACATAAGTATAGTTTCATCTAGTATATGGTACCTGAAAATATTCAGGCATCCACAATGGAAGAACCACAGCTTCTTCTAGAAGTCGTTTGGCTTCACTTAACCCAGCCACATCATCCCATCTAACACCAGGGCTGGAGTCCAAGACATCCCTTTCAAGCATAGCTGCCAAGTCAGCATCAGGACCTTCGTATTGAACTTTTTTGGGTTTTCCATCCTCAGAATCACCATTCTGAAAAATGCAATGAATTAAATAAAAAACTAGAAAGAATGGTACAGCAAGAGGCAGTCAAACCACAACCAGTTAAACATCCTTATAAGAAGTTAAAAACCGGCAAGCATGCTTCAGGACGCCCTCTATCAAACCATGGACGATATATTTACAACCTTTCTCTTGACAATAAAATAACACCTTCTACAATGATATTCCTTACTACTGATTAACTATTTGTATAAGCTTAGGGCACACAAGGAGAGGACCACAAGTCAAAATCAAGAAGATAAGCAACTAAACAGCAATATCAGCATAACACTTTATGTGAGATTGTATGACCAAATCACTATATTAATCGTTAATGCATCTGGATACTTTATCAGAGAGGTAGTCCTGTGTAACAAATCAAACAACACGTAACACAACTGCAATAATTGTGTTTATTATGCAACAAGCAGATAAGTTGCCAATAAAAGTTTAGGTAGGAAAACAATGGGGGAACATGCAGTAGGCTTAAGTATAGCAGGTTGGACAGAATTAAGAAATACTGGAGGCAACCATGGGTACTGGGCTCAAGGACCAATTCTGCAGGGGGTTGAGAAGAGTAGTTTAAAATTACATTGAATGCATGATGTTCTACAAGTAACGCATATGCAAAATCAATTTAAAAAATTAACTTGTACAAAATCTCACAGAATTGATGCTGAAGAACAGAGGGAAAGAGGAACTCGAGAGAAAAGGAAAAATAACTTGTATTGAAGAAGCAGAGAAGTGAATAGTGTGTTAGGCTTTTCACTATTTTATACATTGATCATTATGGTGGTCACTTACAATGCAATTGATAAAATTGTGAATGACAACTTTTACTAAAACTTAAAATACAACTCTACCTATACAATCTAATAAAAGAGAATCACAGCACATTCAAGTTTCTTCCCCGTTCTAACGATATTACCACCATACTAAAAGGCAAGGAAGAAACTGCATTACTCGGGTCCTAGTAAATTCATAAGAAAAGCACTTCATTACATCTATCAATCAACAATCAACAAGCCGTTAAAATCCCACTAAGTGGGGTCGGCCATATGGATCACATGTTGCCATCGTGCTCGATCAAAGCACATATACTCATTCAAATTTAAATATTTTAAATCATTTTTTATTTTGTCTCATTCCAAGTTTTCTTTGGTCTACCCCTCCCCCTTTTAATTTGCGTTCTTAATTCTAATGTTTATACCCTTCTCACCGGTGTCTCCAGGTCTCTCCTACACACATGCTCAAACCATGATAATCGTGATTCTCTGCAGGTCTCTCCAGGTCTCTCATTTCTCCTCTGCAGATGAAAAATCTAAAGCTCTTTCTGATACGAACACTGGAATATTTCTTATCCAGTCAACTACAAAATATTGAATTACCTTCCCCACTGAATTATTAGAAGTTATCAATAAAGCAGGACGCATAAACCAAAATTATGTCAATTTTGTGCTCTCAGAAAGAGATAAACAAGCAAGATGGTAACAGTCAATTTAACTTCTAGCCATAACAAGTTAATCACCTAAAACTTACCACGTACATTGGATTACAAGTGTCACCAACAATTATATGCGTACAAGACCAACTTATAAGAACTATAATTCCAAGCATGATTACTTACAACAGAATCAGCTTTTCCTGCAGTTTTCCCAGTTCCTTTCTTCCCAGCAGTCGACGATCGAACTCCAGTGTTGACTTTACTAGTGGTGCCTGCCCTCCCTCCACGTGCAGTCGTTCTAGTGGATCCACCACGAGCCCAAGTTCCATCCTGTGGAGACTTTCTCATGCCCACTTGACCAGCTCTCGTTGGCCTCCTACCATTAGGATCCCGAGTAGGTGGCCTCCAAACATCAGGGTCGTCCATTGGGGCCCCAGAAGAAGTGGGATATTCATCCAACGGTTGAAAAACAAAAGACGATTTTGTCGAAATAGGAGGAGAATTGGGCCGTCTACCGACAGGAACCTCCTTGAATGACCTTTTCTCAGCATCTAACTGTTTAACCACCTCTGTTTCCTCGGAAATAGCTTTCTTTACGTTCATCCATTTAGTACGAAGCACAGGATCATCAACTGTATTCAAATGCCTACAAAAAGTTTAAATGAACAAATCAGGATAGGATATCAGCATACAAGCTGCATCACTGTAACCAATTTAAATAACAATTCCCACAAATCAAACACAAGAATAATTATTTCTTTTTAAACAGTACGGTACTTAAAATCCAGCAGAATTTTCCCCAATCCACAATTTCCTAAAAAAATTCCCATTCTTTTCTCTTCGTTTACTTCTTAAATTGACAGAAATATAAGTTCAGCTGAAGATACAGACAGACCTACACTGTCCCCCCATTAGTTTCGGTGCTCAAGAAATATAACACGTAGTCAAGGAAACCAAGTTTGATCAAGAGAATTGGGTAAACAGAAAAGAACAGAGGGAATTACTTGTTGATCTGAGCTATAGCGCCGTCGAAGAAGATAATGGAAGTGTCATAAAGTCCTTCCACGGCGTATTCCCTCGCTAACTTCAGATGATCTTGCAATCCAGACAATGAAGCACCCACCATCGGCTTATAAAGGCATACGCTCCTCTGCAGGTTCACCGACAAGTATACCAATGGGCTGTGCTCGAAATAGGGTTTTGAAACAACCCGAAAATGGGGATAGCAATGTGAGAGAGTATGAGAAAGAAGAAGAAGAAGTAATTAAGATGATGAAATGCAATGAAAGTAAGAAAATGGCTGGAGGGTTGGAGGGTTGAAGGTGGTGAGAATACCTTGCCACATAAACGGGGCCAAGACGGCGACGTTTAAACGGTCGGCTGAAGTGTAAAGTGTCAGATAAAATTTTCACCCTTGACAGGGAAATTACACTGGGTGGTTCACGTGGATAAGGTGATTTCCCTTTTTAGTTCTTTTGTAATTGTTTGTAAATTTGGGTTACGTTATTAGTGCTAATGTAATGATTGACATAAAATTTCAAATAATACATATGCAGGCAGATTTTATGGTTTTATACATCAAAAATATTATCCGATTTTGTCCCGGATAATTTTTTTTAAAGTTTGTGATTAAATAAAAAATTTTAAAATTATTATTTTATTATTTTTGTATCGTATCAATTTTATTACATTATAACTCATATTCATCCACAAACTCAAAATTAATTCATTTTTCCACTCTATAACTCACTTTGCTTAGTCAATAATTTTTTTCTCATAATAATAAAACTATAACTCACTTTGTTTAGTCAATAATTTTCTTTTCAAAATAATTTATTAATTTCCAATTACATAATCTCCAATATTACTTTGCTCGTTAAATTGAAGATAATAAGAGTAGATTATTTTAGTAATATTGTCGGATATAGTCTAATAATTGTTAGATGATCGAATCTTCATGATTCTAATGAAAGTATGCAGTTTGTGAGGAAAAAAATATTTTCACACCATGTGTTATGCGTGTATGTTTAGATTTTGTAACATGCATGTAGTATTTATGTTTGATGAAATACAACTTGAACTTCATAAATATTTATAATTTTCACATCTTTTGTAGCGTACCTTGACCATGCACGTGTTCATTTTTACATATGATCTTTGGTCAGGATATATTAGAGGGATTGTAAATTATAAATATTCATTAAGTTTGGGTTATATTTTATTTATTTTTTTAAAAAAAAATATTTTTTTGCACAATCTAATAAAAATGTATAATATAAATGTTTTACCTTGCAAAAATAGAAGAGCCGTTGATTTGTAGCTCTAACTTTGTAGTTGGGATTTTTCACGGACCATTTTTTTTNGTAGAAAAATGGCATTATAAAACGTTAAGACCTAGTGACCTACTCAAAATGTGTACCTATCACTACTAGAATATGAATCATCAAGAACAAAAAATTTCGTTGGTTAAAGTTCATTTTTCGTTGCTAATAAATAATAGGAACAAAAAAAATCCGTTTCATTATTGGTTAGTGAAAACAAGAGTTCTGATACTCAGAGACGGATTCCGGTCCGTTGCTATCAGTAACGGCTTTTGTAACAAGCAAGCCGTTTCTAGTCTTCGAGAAATGGCAACCAAATTAGAAACGAGACTATTTGTTACTAATTAATGAGTAATAGAAACCAAATTAGAAACGAGACTATTTGTTCCTAATTGTTCATTATTAGAAACTAAATTAGAAACGAGAATATTTGTTCCTAATTATTCATTAATAGAAACCAAATTAAAAACGAGATTATTTGTTCCTAATTATTCAGTAATAGAAACCAAATTAGAAACGAGATTATTTGTTCCTAATTATTCAGTAATAGAAACTAAATTAGAAACTAGATTATTTGTTCCTAACTAATCAGCAATAGAAACCAAATTAAAAACGGTTTGTTTTGTTCTTAACATCTTAATATTAGTGACAATTACAATATAATGGCATCTTCTATTTTTTATTGTTGCATTCAGTAAAATTGTTTTGCGTCAAATGAATTCATTAATACCACTAAAAATAAGCAAGCAAGATTAAAGAAAAATAAAATAAAATACAATTATTTTATTTCGTCAATACAATAATAAAAAATTCAATTGATAAAACATCAAAGTACAATTAATACAAACTACTAATCATTTTATCCTCAAATAAACTTGGAAGTAATATTTTTAACATTTCATGATTATGCCTCAATAGAACTCGCTGAGCCTTCTCTCGTTCTTGTGCCGCAGAGATGAACCCATCATACATTGGCAGCTTGTTCAAGTCAAGATACCGTAATGTTTCCTGAGTCGCTGATATGAACCCTTCATATGTTGTTTAAAGTACATTCCGTTTCTAAAAATATATTCCGTATCTAAATCATTGTTACTATTGTAACAACTAAAATTTAGTTACAAATTTTGGTTACTGATGCATCATTTTCTAGTAGTAAATTCGATCCTACCTATGATGCCATTTATTGAAATTTTGAAAGTGGTCCAACCGTGTGGAACTTTTTGGTGATTCCTTGCACTTTTAAAACTTTCGTTATAGTTCAAAATTTTCACAAACAACTACATAGCTTGTTGGTTATGTAATTAAAGTAATGATTAGAACTTAGAAGATTAGTTTGCTATAACATGCAAATTTAATCGACATTTTACAGTTTTGGCGTCACGGCTATCATTCCTTGCTCTCAGGACCAACTTCTTTACTCAGTACTAGAACATTGCATCGCACATGGGAATTTATTTAGCAAAATAGAATTGGTCTAAAACAATATAAATTTAATAATAATGCTAAGCACAAATATTGTGCATTAATATTACATCCAATTAGTACGAATCCTGACATATGAAAGCAACTTCACAAAAACTACTTAACTGAGACTAATTTCCAGTAAACTAGAACACAAAGCAGAGTCACACTACATAGTCCATAGGATATTGTGAAGAATATTAGTATTAATCCTGACATTAACATGTCTAGCTTGTTTATTTTATATTTTGTTTTGTGTATTCTTTCAAATGCAGCAACAACAAATAGAGTCCAAACAGCACTCGCAAGTCTCTGCACAGCACCAGCAGCAACACATTGCAAACAAACTGTGACAATAACCAAACATTGAATTGTTAATTAAGTTAATAACCATATTTGTTTGCATTCACTTCAAATATCGGTAACTGTCCAAGGCTAGAAATAAAATATTAAAAACAAAATTTTGTGATATTAATTTTTTTAAATACCAGCTTGTCATTCTAGTCCTGCAAAACTTACTTAGACCACTCTTGGTCAAACTAATCAGATCATTCTAAAAGAGAGGAAATGTTCTTTATAGATCTGTTTATTTTAATTTCTGGTTTGTAATTCTTAAAAAATCCAAAAAAATCCAAAACATGTTTTGAAGACATTATGACTCAACCCAAGCACCATCTAAATTTCAGAACTTTTTTCAGTTCTCTAATAGATCTCGAGCAAGAAATCAAACCTACAATGACCAACCAAAGAAGCCATAAAAATAAAGAATAATTTCCCTTCTTTTAGAAATTAAAACTAAATGAAATTTAAAATTTTGCTTGTGATTAAAAAAATATATATACAAGAGAAAAATGAGAAAGAGGACCCTTACCAAGCATAGAGGCATCCTTTTTCTTCATTACGTTTTTGGACATGATCAGAATAAGACATGCCCTGGTAACTGGGTGCTGTCTGCATTTTGTTTTCTTCTTTATTTCCTTGTTTCAAATTCTTCTGAAATTTTTATAAAGGCATATAATATAATGTTCTTGTTACTATTGGTTTAGGTCCTGTGACTATATTATATTGTCTCATTTAATTTGCAGTTGGGTTGGTTAGCAGTTCTACTGTAAACTACATAGTCTTTTTCATTAATTCATATAGGTAAGAGTCACCCGCAACCTTTTACATTAGATAGGCTTTTATATGAATAACCCAAATTAACCATCACATATAGATGATATATGTGAAGTTGAAGTAATTAAAGCTAATAAAGTAATTTCAAAAATGAAAGGACAGTATCAACGAGATTAAAGTCGTCTAATTATTTTAACCATGGCGAGAACAAACTTAACTCACAATTAAACTAAATCTAGAATCAAGAGTGACAAATAGGGACGACTACGACATTAATCAAAGTAAATCAACTACAATACAAAACATTACACCATGTCCTCTGATTAAACAAATATTCTCGAGTCTGTAATAGTTATAGTTTCACCTAGCATCAAATAGAGTTTAACAAATTGATGATATAATATAATTATAAGGAGAGTACAACAACTATTGGGCCAGGTACTACCCTTTACCCAACAGAGCTCGGGCCTTCCTAATTTTTAACTTCTTCCTTGGCGAGTCCCTTAAGAAGGTCTTGGGCCTGAAGCCCAATAACCTGAGCTTCTGATTTCTTCATTATCCTCAACCTTCTGCATGACTCAATAAACATCCTACAAAAATAAAGTTAAATTAGTAATTTCAAATGTAATTTTCATTCCACTAAGCCTTTTATTTGATCAGCGCATTCTTTATAAAATATGTATATTTTTATTAAACAATATCATACTTTAAATATAAGTATACATTTTAATAGTATAAGTAATTAATGTTTTTCGGAGTATGACTTATTGTCAAATATACTTAGCATATTAAATTAACTTTCAAAAGTAAATTCTTATGTGAATAAAAAAAAAAAATCAGAATTCACCTAATGATGGCTCATGAAGTGCATTAGTAATCATATATTGCTATAGTAAAACAAGATAAATCGTGACTCATGGGGAACATTTTTATTTTTGAAAATTATTTTAAAAAAATTGGTCATTGTTTTGCTCACCGCGGACAAAGTCTAATTAGGACAAGACATTATCATTTATCCCAATTGAAAAGGAAAAAATCTTTAGAGCACTCATAATTGTGTTTGGAGCGGGGATCAGGTTGCCTACCATATAAAATTAGTAAAACCCAAAAAAAAAATAAAAATAAATAAATAAATAAATAAAAGAAAAGAAAATTCTGGCCCTTTAGGAAACTTTCGTCATACGGTTTTAATAATAATGTTTTTATTGCCTTTCGTCCAACGTAAATTTACCAAAAGAGCCCTGGTGAGCTATCACTAATAATGTTAGGCGTGTCTAACAGTTAAACAGTCATATTCTTTAAAAGAATTTACATATTTTTAAACTGAAATGTGATACTAAGAAAATAATATAAGCAAAATAATATTTTTTTTAAAGAGATACGACAGATCAACCTGCCTAACGATTAAGCTATATCACATAAAAATTTGTTTTATAACAAATATTCATGCTTTATAAAAGAATAAAACAACATGAATAAATGCACGTTTCATAGTACAACCATTGTGTGTGTCTAAATATTATCATGTACTCTAAATTATTATAATTACTTAGCCAAATGAAAAGAACAAACATTTCTTCAGTTCATATAGAGTCACATAAAATAGTTTTGCACAAACATAATTTAGGAAGAAAAATTAATAGACTTACTCCCAAGGAACATCTCCAAGGAGCATCCAGTCGCCATCTTTGTCTTCATAAATGGGAACGTATTCACAATTTTCACCATCTTTCTCACCTGCAAGTCATATTCCAAACCAATTTATTTCATATTTATTTATTCTTACATTGTATACAATTTAAAATGGTTACAAATTAAATAATTTCAATCATTTTTTTTTTTTTTTTCCCTTTGCCAGTCATACTTCGCCAACAACCTTAATTTAACTTTACATTTGAGGTAAGAACTGGAGAAGGTAGTCCAAAAAATTATGACACTTTGTATCAACTTTATCAGACAAAATTAGAAAATAACTCATAACTCAATTAGATTTGATTTTTCGTGCTTTTCCCAGCTTGAGGGCATTATATGTTGCCATTTACATTTGGGGTTGATATGATGACGTGGATAAAACCAATATGGGAACATTTGCGTGAAACAAATGTGATTTAATTTTTGAAAATTGGTAAGTCGTAAATTTAACTAAATTGATATTCTATCTTGTCCATTTGTTATGTAAATTGTGTTGAATTATAGATAATCCTTGTGCTAAATGGTTCAAGAATAATAGAACTTTATATAGCCTTATTTTGAGTTTAATTAGGTGAAATTAATTGGATCTGTACCTATGTATCAAACTAAATTAATCAAGATTCTAATGGTTACCAAAACAAATAAAATAAAAAATAAACTACTCTGTAACTCATACATATTTCTCACAGTTACAAGTATCAACTACTATTCCAGTACACTTTTTCTAAAACGAAGACCAATTTATTTTTATCAATTGAAGTAGAATCGGAATAAAAAACATTTTATTAAATTGGCAAATTTGCCTTTGACTCTCTCTTTCAAATCTAATATCCAAGCAATTTTTAAATAATTATGCCTTCAACAAGTATTGCTTCAGATACAAGTTAATGGTTTACAAACTTTGTCTAACGTTCACAAATAAATCTATATCAAATGCAGAAATTCTGTTTTTTTTTTTTTTTTTTCTTTTTTTTTTTTTTTTTCTTGTTACTTTTACCAAACACATCACGAATTGAGATGAACATAATTTGACACAAGAAATGCCACCAAAAATGCTGATAGCGTTGCAAATTTTTGATGAGAATAAGCACAAATTGCAATATTGGTCCAATAATTTTGTGCTCTTGCAATATTAATCCAACAACTATGACTTTTGCAATTTTTGCATATTAATTTTCTTCACAATTTAAGGATAAATTTGATCGGAATTTGGCACATTCGCCAGAATCATGCACATGTTCGATTCTCACGAAGACGCTCAATTCTAACTAAAATTATCCTTAAATTTCAAACAAAAAATTAGTTAACTTAATGTACCTACAAACCTATAGTGGTGGACTAGTTTTACTAAAACCCCTAGTTGATATTACAATTTCCTCTAATAAATTAGTATTATATTATTACTATTTAATTGAAAAAATAAAAATGAGCACAAGATTTTAACTCACCAATGCCATAACAGCCAAACAGCTCCTCAAGAGCCGCCACAAGATGAAAGTACAATTTGTAACCGCTCAAGTCTATCTTGCGCAGATAAGGTGCGCCGTCCATGCTAACCTTCACATACATCTTAGCCCGGCCAAAGCTGTTCTTCCTCCGGTAAGCCGCCACCGGCGGCCACCCCACCACCTGATTCTTACTCTCCACAGCCTCTACCTTCTCCTCCTCCTCCCCGCCGCCGCCACCACCGCCGCCACCGGAGATATCCGAAAACGCTCTCTTCTTCTCGTTCCTCTCCACCTCGCCGCCGCCGCCGGGAAGCCCCAGCCTCAGATCCGTTTCAAGTCCCAAACCGCTTGTCACCATTTTTTTTTTCTTTCGCAGATGATGAACAAAAACGAAAAGGGCTTTTTTCTCTTTCGTTAATTTTTCTTTATGTCGATCGGAATTAAATTAAAGATTCGACGTTTATATATATGTGTGTGTGTGAATGAGAAGAAAAAACAGAGCCAGATCGAGAGAAGGTAATTGGTCGGAAGATTGAGAAACAGAGCAATGGTGGGGGAGAGTTTTTGCCGCCTAAGAAGCTAAAATGGGCCGGCAAAGGTTGGATATGGGCCGGATCGGAGGGTTGCCGATTGGGGATGGGTTTATTAAGGTTTTGATCGTGGCCGTTGGATGTGGGCTCGTATTTTAGAGACACTACCATGTGATTTGCTTGATTGAGGTTGGTCCAGGGAAATTGCTCAATAAGTGTGTAATTAAATTATTAAAGTATTTATTTTTCTTTGTACGGAAACAAAAAAAGTATTTATTTTTCTAATATAGACTAATTATTAAATGCTAAAAGGTATCATTATTTGTTAATTGTTCTTTTTCATCGGGTTTTTGGGGTATTATGCATGCATATATGTATCCTAATTTTTAGGAAAACAAAGAAAGGTTTTTAATTTGTAGGTTAAATGAGTTCTAGTTTCAGATTTATGAATGAGAGGATAAATCCATTTAACTCTGCTATATTCATCTACAATTGTGAGAAAAAAATTTATGACCAGAATGAGAAGGAATGGAAAATGGACCCCAAATATCACAATGAATGAGATCAAAAGGGGTTAAACTTGAAGATGTACTTACTGGAAAAGAGAATTTCTTGTCTAGAAAAATGACAAATATCACAAGGTGTAACATCATGCTGAACAACAGATTTACAAACTTCAAGTTTATTCAATTTTGAGTAAGATAGATGTCCAAGTCTGTGATGCCATAGAGTATGATCAGATACAGGTAAAAGAGCAGTTTCAGCAGCAGATACATGAGATTTATGGGATACATGGTTTAAGGTTTTATTATGAACAGTAAAATGATAAAGACCATCTATAAGTTCAGCAGAACCAATCACTTTGGTGCTGACTAGGTCCTGTATAACACAATGAGAAGACAAGAAGTTGATGCAGCAGTTAAGAGTATTGGCAAGTTTAGATACAGAAATGAGATTAAACTTGAAAGATGGCACATAGAAAGCATTGTAAAGAACAATATTAGGAGATAACTGTATGTTGCCAATATGAGTAGCAGTAGTTTGGAAAATATTTGGCAAGTTAATTTTAATAGAAGTAGCCATGAGAGTATTATCAAAGAGAGAAATATCACAGACCATGTGGTCTGTAGCACTAGTATCAAGGATCCAAGATGTTTCAGATAAATGTGAACTAGATGCACAAGAGTAATGTGAGGGTATACCTGGAAGCTCAATGAATGCTGTAGCAATGACAGGGCTAGAGTTATTGACACCAGAAGTTATAATGCTCTGTTTAGCATCCTGAGCCTTTTTGAATGCTACAAATTCACTAAACAAACCATCAGTCATGGAATGTGCATCAAAAGTGTTAGGATTAGCATTTTGGTCAAAGAGATTTGTGACAGCAGCATGAGCAAAGGGTTGTTTTCTGGGACCTTTAGGACCTTCCCGATTGGGTGGGTAACCAATCACTTGGTAACACCTATCAGATGTGTGACCAAGGTATCCACAATGAGAGCATTTTGGTCTATTAGGATTGAGTCTGGAATCTTTAGGATATGGTGGTTTGTTAGGATTGTTAGGCTTGTAGTTGTGATGAGCAGGATTGGTTTTTACAGCCATGGCCAGAGGTTCAAAGGATTTTGCTGTGTTAGTTAAGGCTCTCTGACTTTCTTCTTAGAGAAGAAGGGAATAGACAGTTGAAAGACAAGGCAATGGGTTGGATAACAGGAAATGGCTACGAAGTGAGAAGTATGAGTCATTCAATCCCACCAAAAATTTCATCACAGAGTCAAATTGTTGAGCAGCAGCAATAGCATCATACAAATTACAAGTGCAATGAACAAGAGCACCACAAGTACATTTGAACAATGGCCTATATGTAATATACTCATCCCACAAGGATTTAAATATATTATAGTATTGAGTGACAGACATAGATCCTTGATCAATAGTATTGAGAGATTTCTCTAACTGAAAAACCCTAGGACCAGAACTTAAAGCATATCTTGTCTTACTTTCATCCCAAACTTCTTTAGCAATAGTGAAAAACAACAAAGATTGACGAATATCTTTCGCAATTGAGTTAAGCAGCCATGACAGAACAAGATTGTTAGCCCGCATCCAAGATAGATATAGAGAGGGGTTACCAGTCGATGAAGGAGGAGTGATAGAGCTATCGATGAAACCTGCCTTGTTTTTTACGTTGAGGGCCATTTGGATGGCGCGGCTCCAGGAGACGTAGTTATCGCTGGCGAAAAGCTCGGCGACTATGAGAGCGTCGGGATTGTCACTGGCGTGGGCGACGAGATATCATCGGTAAGATTCACAGTGGTGGCCATGGAGGTCGAAGAACAGATCGCGATTGTAGGGTTTTCGTATGAACAGATCGAAAACAGATCGCGAAAACATAAATAAAAAACAGATCGAGAAGAGATGTGAGTGCGGAAGCAAAAAAAAAATCAGTCACAAATAAGAGATTTGTGACCTCTGATACCATGTTTGATTCTATATCGAAGAACAAGAGAGAGAGAATGAAAAAAGAAAAACAAAATATCGGCTTTCTCTATTTTGCAGAATGAATAATTAGGGTACAATAGTTGTGACCCTTAGTATTTATACTTAGTACAAGTCTTGACCTAATTAGTTAAGGAAAGGGATAATAATAAAATGAATAACAACTAAAATACAGAAAATGAATATAATATAAAATGAATATAATATATCTAATTATATATTTAACAGTAGGCTTGTAGCACAAGTTAAATTTGTTTGTACCTCAAAAAAAAAAAAACGCGAAAGCTTTTGTTTAATTAGTAGCTCAAGCTGTTTCTTTTCTTTGCACTTAGGCAGAGTAAATAGAGAAATCTTATAAAAATTCAACAGTCAAAAGACGATTAGTAGTCAAACAAATTGACAAATATCTAACTTTTTTTAAAGCTACTAACAAAATTTGACTGTTAATTTTTATGAGATCTACTTCATTAGAAAAATCTCCTTGCAAGCTTTCAAATGACACCTTGCGATGAAATAATGGATATTGTAACTATGAAAAAATTTAAAACGATTTTTTTTCTAAGTATACATGCGTCCACCTTCTTCATCTATCGATTATCGACATATCAATTTTTCAAAAATCAATAATCATACATCATTATGTCTGTCTCGTCATGGGGTTCAACAAGCCTAATTAATTTAAAGCTCAATTCAAATTTATCATTGCTCGAGTTAAAAACATTTTTGTGTCATATTAGGATTTTTAATAGAGTCAAATTGTCAGCTTCGTGTACTTTGGGAGATGATCTATTAAGAAAAAAAAAAGTTTTTAAGGCAAAGTCTAAAACCGGACATACTTTGGGTCATAGTTTTCAACTCGAACTGGCCTGGTGGTTCGACCCGGAACCCGACCGACTCAAAATTGGGCCTGGGCCGAGTGGGTGTTTCGGACCACCCGATCAAAACTCAATCAACCAAGCCTTGACCCGGTCGACTTGGACATTGACCCGATCATTATAATTTTTTTTTAAAATATTTGTATTAAAAATNACGCCCACGATTTTGCTGCTTTTGTCTCGGTTTTCTATTGTGTCTGTGATTGGCGGGACCTCTTGGTTCCTTCTCTGCGAGTGGCATACGGGAGTTCTCGGTTGGTGGTCGTAGTTCTGCTGGAATTGCATTTTTCGGTTAGAGCTAGGCTACTTGGTTGGGTTTCAGTTGCTTCGGGCTGGGCTGAGTCGTGTTTGCCTCTTCTCGTGATTGAAGTGCGGGACTGCTCTTCAGTTGGTCCTGGAGTGCGGGTTGCCGTCTTGCTAGGCCTTCTGCAGTGGTGGACGGTTATTTCCGTGCTTTAGAGCTATCAGTGGAGTTGGTTTGTCTGCCGTATACTTAGTCGTATCTGGTGGGGGAGGATGTGTCCTCTTTCTTGTTTTTGTTTCTAGTCTTAGTGGGTCTGTGTTTTTGCTATTGTTATTGTTCTATTTTTGTGTTTTGGTTTGGGCAGTTGGCCCTGTATTGTTGTATTGTGTTTTTGGTTTGGGCCGTTGGCCCCTGTATTGTGTGTGCCCGACCGTGTTCGGGTCTTCTCCTTTGGGGAGCGTTCCATATTCTCCCGTGGGGAGCTTAGTGTTTCTTTGTTTGTGTTATAGTGTCGGTCGTTTTTGAGTCTTGTTTTTAGTTTCTAGCTTGGCTAGCTGCGGTTCTAGGCGGTCTTTGACCTGTCCTCCCACTTTTTCAGCCATTGGCTGTATTATTCAGCCTTGGGTTGTACTTTTCACATTTGTGCGTTTTGAATTATAATATTTCTATCGTTTCGTAAAAAAAAAAAAAAAAAAAAAAAAAAAAATTTATAAGTAATTATCCAATTCAACAATTTGTCGTCCTGACGGTTAAACCAGTAACTCATAAGCCTGCCTAGGTCGATTCTTGAGCATGGTTTAAAAAGTATGCTTGAGTGGTTAAAAAAAACCCTATAATTCTAACTTTTTTGCAATTGGAGTGTAGTTAATGTATCCCATTAATATTAATTGTTTTCCAAATTGGCGCGTGATACAATAGAGTCAGTTCAAAATGAGTGAGGATAGGTTATGTCAGTTTGGTTTTGTCCAAGGTATGAGGAACAACCTACACATGGCGATTGATGAACTTAGTGGCAAACTCCATTTTACGCGTCTAAAGTCAAGCTGCCCCTTTCTTATACAGTTGTATATAAAATAGAATTCAAAATCAAACCGTCATTTATGTTCTATTACAAGAAAATAATAAAATTTCAATGCAATATTCCAACGAAAATATATTTTAATATAATTTCAACGGCAATTCCAATTGATATTTTAATGGTATTATTTCTGTTGGAATTTTTCAATAGATTCCAACGAAAATATTCCGTTGGAATGAATTTTCCATTGAAATTTCCGTTAGATTTTGACGATTCCAACAGTCGCGTGATTTTTCAACAGGGGTGAAAATAAAAATTTCAATAGAAATTGCATATTCCAACGGAAATTACTCCGGTAAAAAACCGTTGAAATAGTTCTAGACAAACTTCATTATACATTTTCTATATTAATACCGCGTTTGTATATATGGAGGCTTTACAAATTTTTGTGCATGTTGCGCCTGTTATTGGGTTATTCATCAATACGTTATTCATTAAAATAAATGTAATAAAAAAATATGATCTCTTCAACTCTAAATGTAATAAAAAAAATATGATCTTATCAAGCTCTAGATGTAATAATAATAGTAATAATAATAATAATAATAATAATAAAATAATAATAATAATAATAATAATAATAATATATATGATTTCATCAAGCTCTAATTCTAAAAACTGATGCAATATAAGGACCTCTTGCACAAACTTTTTTTTTCAACGCTAGGGAGGAATCTATATATATATAATAAGAATTAACATTTACTAAAAATAGTAGCAAAAAAATAGGTCAATAATTTAATGCAACCTATAAATAGTAAGTTTTATTATTTTTCTTATTTTTTTCTTTAAAAATCATACAACATTAAATGCTACCTTAAATTTCGGGCTTTAGTTCATTTTATTATTTAAAAAATCCGGCTAAAATTTATTAAGTGTGTATGTTTTTATTTTTATTTTTTTTCTTAGAAACAACAAACAATATTAAATCTCGGTCTCTATATTTATAAAATCTCAATTCAAAATATAACAAAAGTTTTTGAATCTCGGTCTTTATATTTGTGCCTTAAAAAAAATTGAACGCTAAAAATATTCTTTAAATTGCATAATCAATCAATTAATCTTAATTTTTTGAAATGTTTAAACTAATTGATAAATAATTTATAAATCTCTATTTTATTTAAATATGTAATTTTATTTAAAATATTTCTAAATATAATAAAATTTATTTAAAAAATCGTATCGATCCTATCAGTCCAACCGACTGGTGGTGACGGATTCGAGAGTAAATATTTTATTCAAGCGAACTAGACTGGTTATAAACCGGTTCTCGGTCCATCCGGTCGGACTGTGTCCAACCCGATTTAATTTAAAAATAATGGATAAATCATGATTAATGTTATTTATATATTTAATTTATAATACAATCGTAATATTTTTTTTCGTGCATCGCACGGGACACGCACTAGTCTGAGTATATCTAATTTGATTTATGAGAATATTAGTTGATTGGTTAAGAAGCCTTAAATAGAGTAATTAAATGCCAATGCAAATCAATACCAACAAACTTATACATGACTAATATTGGGCAAAAAGAATTTTTGCACATGATCCCTCCATTCAACTAATCAGTCAATTGTATGATATGCAAACTCGCTTGGACGGGTTGAATTGGAATACCGCGACTTCAACTTCGAGTTTCTGTGACCTGGAATGGGCTGGAGAGGGATTCCGACATAAAACATTCGACGCTTAAGTCAGTATTTGTCTTTAGAGAATAAAAGAAATAAAGTACGAAGTGCATAGTTAAGATGCCTTAGTCATTGAAATAGAACCTGGTCATATAAGTGTGTCTTGATGTCCAAAAGAGTCTTAATAAGGAAATAGATCAACCAATATCTATTTTCCTAGCTTACATGAGAAAAAAGCTAAAACCATATAATAAGCTGCTTAGCTGCATGAGAATCTCTACATTCAATATATTAAACCATATATTGATCTTTTAGTTTAGGTTTGTATAAGGATATGCTAATGTGGGGTTCAGCCTTGTGGTCACATGAAATCAGATATAAGACTCACCAAGTGTACAGTTTCCGTTTTCCTAAAATGAAGACAACAAAGGATCAAAATAATGGTTTAATTTAGAAATTGTAACATAGGAATATAATATTATCTTAGATCTACACAGAATTTAGTGTCTCTTTACAACCGAGCATATGTTTCCTTACCTTAGACAAGTCAATTAATCATATATGTGAATGTAGGGCACAAGTGATGGGAGTTGTCTCCTTCAAATTATAAGATAGTTGTTATTGTTCGGTTGATCATGACATTTAGACAACAATAACCACCTAAGAACTATATGCCCAAGAATCTAATAATCTTCACCAAATCACAAAATTAATATCCGTTGTCCAAACGGTCTGTTTGGTTATAGTTGTTGAAGATTTTGGGTTTTGATACCCTCTAAAGCATGGACATGAAGGCCAAGTATATCTTCCCATGTGCAATCTTGAGCAGTAGGTTCTTNTTCCTGAAATGTCCTAAAAATATTTTTTTTCTTAGTTAAAAGTTAAAACCACTTTATGAGAAAAATATAGAGTTCATACGACTGTTTGAAAAAAAAAAATAGTTGATATGGTAAACTGCAAAATTCGTGATATTAGATGAGGTTTTATGTAACTAGTCAACTTTTATCAAGTTCATAAGACTAAAGCATGAGTTAAGTTTCCAAAAGAAACTGAAGAGCAAAATCAAAAGGAAAAAAGGAAGTCAGATTTATGTTCCAAAAGGAACATAAAAAAACAAAAAAAAAAAGAAAAAGAAAAAAAAAATCTCTAGTGTACACGTTACAATATCTCAAAGCTGAAAGAAGGCAGTTGTGGGAGATATAGATAACTGAAGAGCAAGCTGCCAAGCACCCAAAATTTGTCTCCTATTAAATATTGATATATCACACACTGACTCACAAGCCCGGGATTGGGAATTGGGTTGTCAGGGCCTCCACACTTCTTTGAAGATTCAAAACCCGGTCAGACAGTGGAAAGCCCGGAGAAGTCACAAATTTCATAAAATCTTGGAGCTTGGAGCCCGGTGCCGATTTCTTTGCCTCTAGAGTAATTTGCACACCTTCGTGAATAAAATCCGCAACTTGCACAAATTCATGTTCACCAAAGCCTCTAGTAGTCATGGCAGGTGAACCGATTCGTATGCCACCTGGCACTAGGGCGCTTTTGTCACCTGTGCATTGAAAGTGAAGGGTAAATCGTGTCTCGCCTTAATAAATTGCCATTCTGTGGTGTAGACTCGTAAAGGTATACACTCACCAGGAACAGAGTTCTTATTGAGGGTTATGGATGCCATATCAAGAATTTTCTCCGCCCGGGCGCCATCAATGCCCTAATTCATACAGTAGTAAGTTTTAATGAACTCATAAGGGCCTAGTGCCCAACG